CATTCATCTTCTCTTTGTCTTCACTGTTTCTTTCCTCTCTCTTCTGTGGTCCAAGCTGCTAGGTGTTCCTGCAAGAGCAGCATCATGAGCAGCTTCCTGTAGGGTCAGCTTGAGCAGCAATGGCCTGTGAGGCTGTGGTGGCCACTTCCTGACGAGCTACCATAAGCCCTGATCAGCCCCAACCTCATGTCATTCTGCATGAGATCACAGAGCCACATTCTATGACAAAGTCCAACTCCCAACAGAACACAGGCTGCATGTGACATGAATGAATGAGTGATAGGACACAGGAGCCCATACCTTCGAAGAAAGACCAGGCTCTCCTTGCTTATGGATAAGCCACCCTATGACGATGGGTAACCGCCCTATAAAACCAAAAGCCCACTCCAGTAAGGCAGTCTGGTTTTGGTTCCAAGGCTTGCACAGAACCAAAAAACTCACTTTGAGCCTACCACTCAAACTTGGTGTCTTTGTATACCCACTGACTTATACAGGAGGGCCCTTGAGTGTTTTTTCTGCTTACACATTGACTACATCGATGCATAAATATTCCCAACTCAGAACTCAGCCTATTCTGAAAAACCAAACTGTCCTGCTACTGCACAATCACCCCTTCAATGAAGGACGAGAAGACACTACTTTGGAGAAGCCGGCTGATCAGCAACACCAGCTGGGCCTCAGCACCCACCTGGCCAGCAGCCTTAACCCTCTCGATAGGGTGGAGAAAGGAGTAGTGACCAGCAACGTGCTTACTGGAGACCCGATGGAAGGAACACTGTTAGTCAAACCATGACTTGAGAGGCTAATGGGAACTGAGATCACTTGACAGTGAAGTGGAGGCTTGAAAATGAATACCGCTGAACTGTCTCCAGTGGAAATTCCCAGGAACCACCACCAAAGGACTATGAGCCAGTACCCATGATGCATGCCGGAGGCCTAAGGCTGAGAGGTTACTGGCAGCAGGAGCTTAACTCACCATCCCCCACGGCAATTTCTGAGGCTCTATTCTGAAAAGAAAACATATCACCTGCCTTTGTATTGATCAAAATCACATCTTTCAGAGTACTCCAAATACCAGGACGGATCACCTACAGAGCTTAAAAAGAAAAAAGCTCCTATGTGACACCTGATAAAGGCTTTCCCCTCCCCGATATCAGTAACATTATTGCACTTGCACAGCCACTGTACAGGTTATAAAGAACTACTATGTTTGTTCCACTTGCTTTTACCAAATGGGACATATTCTTAAGGTGGAGGTCACACCTCAAATTCTTACAACAAAGCGCTGGGCTGGCCCAGTGAATAAATACAGACAGAGGGGGTGCAGCATGAGTCCCATGCAAAAGGAACACTTGCCCCCCCCTCCCCGAGGTACTGGGCAGCGATTCAGGCTTGGCGCTGCCAGATCTTCCTATTTTTCAGGCAAAATAAAAAGTCTGATTTTCCACAAGAAACTTCCAGTCGTGGGCCTCCCTGGTGGCACAGGGGTTCAGTGTCAGCACTCGGAAGCTATCAGGGATCGAACTGCAG